CTGTAGTCCCAGCTACACGGGAGGCTGAGGCAGGAGGATCGCTTGAGCCCAGGAGTTTGAGGTTGCTGTGAGCTAGGCTGACGCCAGAGCACTAGAGCCTGGGCAACAGAGCGAGACTCTGTCTCCAAAAAAAATAATAAATTCCTGAAACTGAAACTGAAGCTTCTTTGGTCTTGGTCTTACGAGCCTGCCAATATATAAGACTCTCTCTTTGCTTTGAGTTTCTCAGTTCATTTTCTGTCTTCTCTTCATTTCCCCTTCGAAAACACAACTTCTTTCAATTTATATGCAAGTAAGATGGAAAATCAAATGAAGACTATGAAGACAAAGTGAGCAGAATTCTAATAAGAGACCACAAACGTAATGCAATACATAAGAACCAAACAAATACTCTTTGTGGACACAGCTAAGAAAAAGGACAATCCTACTGATGGCTGGATGGAAAAAAACATTTCACCTGCTGTCTGGCAGCTGCCCCACCAGTGTAGTTCCTATAACCAGCAAACTGATCCCGATGAAAGCCAAAGTCACCCTAAAAAAAAGAAGAAGAAGGAAAAAAAAGGTAATGACAAAGTTTGTCAAATAGTAGGGAAGTAACCTAAACTTTCATAAATAATAAAGTTGTAAATAAGTTGTAGAATATCCACATTATGGAATATGATTCAGTCATCAAAAGAATTGGGTAAATCTATAGATTCTGACATGGAAGAATGTTCCCAATACATTTTGAGAGACAAAAAGCAAAGTAAGTTTCAGAATAATATATCGAGTATGATACCATTTTCAGAATAACGACAAGCACATATGTGTAGCTAGTCTACATATGCACAGAGAAGGCCTGGGAAACTGTTCACAAAACCATCAAGCTCAATCTGTGTAATCATCAAAGGGGTAAGAGGGCTAGTGAAAGAAATACATTTAAAGGCTCTTTCATAAGAAGAACATTAAAATAGATCACCGGGCAGGAATCTGTTAATGCAAATCCAACTGTTGTCCTTTTTCATGGTTCAAGATAACTCAGAAGCTAGCAACAGGGTGACTGACAATAACGAAAATCTCCATGTAGACATTTTCTCATTTTTGAAAAGTGCTTTTAATATGAATCTATTTTCTCTTCAAAAGGAAAATACTAACTTTTAGAAATATAAATAGAACTACTTGAAAAAAAAAGGTTAAGATTTAAAATTCTTCAAAATAAATGAGATTTACTTAAAAGTGAGGAAAAATCAATAGTTTAATTACATTTTACTAACAAGATTCTTGAAACCACTCTACTTTGTCAAATGGGCAAAGCAGAAACTTCAGATTATCTCACTGTCCTCTCAAATGGAACCAGATCTGTGACTTCCGGTTCTCTGCAGAGAGCCTCTCCCCTTTTTGCGGGATGCATGGGGTGTTTATCCCGCAGCCAGACCAAAGGGAACCACCGCTGCAGCGGGGAAGCCTGGGGGTTTGCGGAAGCTACGGCGGCTGCCCGAGATCAACAGTCAGGAGCAGAGACCCTCTCCAGGGTCGAGCTGGTTTACTCCTGACAAGTTTCACTCTTTACCTCCTGCCCAGACATTTGGAGCACAAACTAGTTTATCTTACCAATCTTGGGTTTTACATTAGAGGAGGATTTAAAAAAAAAAACAAAAAACAGAAAAACAGCTAACAGCCTGGGCAACATAGTGAGACCCCCATCTCAAATAAATA